CATTTTTTTTAATTAAGGTTTATTGGGGTGATAATTGCTAGAGCTTTTTAATTTTTCCTGTTATTTTGCCAAAGTAAACCAGGTAAAACTGCCACTCTAGGTGATGAAAGAAAAAAGGAGAAGAACATACATGCAACGTACTTGAACACCAAAGCAGGTAGTTATTGCAGAAATCGTGGTGATTCATAAGGAACAGTAATACCTACCACCCATATGATGATCAGTCTTCTGGATAAATAAGGATCAATATTCCACTGAGTGAACGGAAGAAACGTGATGTAGAACACTTCTTGACCCAAAGCGGCTGAAAATCGGAATAGGTAGTAGTAGAAATAATTCTTCACGATGTACTTCTGTACATAAGCCTGAAAGATAATAGTTAGAAGACCGTGAGGGCATTGAACATGTCACCATAGGGCAAATTTAAAACCTCTGTCTGAAAGTCACAGGTCCTAATTGCCAAGGCGCTGCCTCCCCTCCCATTATGTAATTACGGTATCATTACTATCAGTGTCCACAGCTGTCGAACACCTAGCAACCGGGATGTGTCCACACAGTTACAGATGTTAGTTCCTTATAAAAGTAAATAAGTGACATCCAAGAACAGAAATATCAGGGAAGACATACACAAAAGCCAAAACCCTTTTCCTGTGTATACAGAAGGCTAGAAACTAGAGGAATTGAATGGTTAGGATACAGTATGGGCCTATGACTGTGGTGGGCAGAATAATATCCCCAAGGTTCCCATTCCTAATCCTTAGAGCCTGTGACTAGGTTACCACCTTACATAGTGAAAGGATGTAATTAGTGATTTGCAGATGGAGAGGTTATCTTGGTGGACTCAATGCAATCACAGGGATACTTAAAAATGGAAGGAGAAGGCAGAAAGGTCCAGAGTCAGAGAGTGATCTGAAGATGCCACGCTGCCGGCTTTGTGGATGGAGGAAGGGGCCCGGGTCACAGCACGCAGGCGCCTCCCGCAGCTAGAAACGTAAGGAAATGAATTCTCCCCTTGAGCCTCCAAAAGGAACACAGCCCCGCTGATGCCTTGATTTTAGCCAAATAAGAGCCATTTTGAACTTCTGACCCCTACCGCCATAAGAGAATAAATCTGTGTTGTTTAACCCACAAAGTGTGTGGTAATTAGTTACAGCAGCAATAGATAATACGAAGAGTTTAGAAAAATCACTTGCTGATGAATGTTTTTAGTTTACCTTTTAGATGGGACTAGTAAGGTCAATCCACTACAGTGATGGCATAAGAAAGACAGTGAATGCATGCAGGGTCTGCTAAAATGCACTCCCATTTTCTATCATCCTTTCCCTCCCTCTTATACTGGAAGTAGGCA